ATTGGAGTATCTTACTAGATAAATCTTATCACCATTGAACCTTCTCCCACCAAGTCTCAACAACTTAAAATCAATGAATTTGATATTTTGGAATTTTTAAAGGAGGAGAATCCTAACCCAGAGTGGATTCTTCAGTTCCTTTGATGTACCATGATTCGAGTGATCTTGCATTAATCTGTTTAGTAAAGAAATGCAAAATCTGTGTTTGGATTTTAGAATCCAATCTTGGAATTTCTTATAGAAATGCACCCTAAATCAATGCAGTATTGGTTGGAAGTTAATTTACTTTAATAATGATACATGTAATATTATGTAGAGCAGAATAACCAATCATGAAATGTCTAACATCTTCTATGTCAAATTCCAATTGATGTCATGTAGATCTTAATATGCGTGCTGATATTTTGAAACATACACTTACTTAAAACAGGTGACATTAATATCACGACTTTGTCTTGCTTTTTTTTGTCCACCTGTAAGTTAGAGATGTTGGCTGGATCATGGACATTAGGGTACTGAATAATTAAGGACAATGTTTATATAATAATAATTGCCAATGCAATCCCTTATTGTGAACCTTCTGAACGCAGGGAACAAAGACACCTGAACATTTTGGTTTCATCTGCCATGAACCTAAAACTGGACAGTATTACTGCTATGTTTTCAAGGGTCAATCTGAGCAGCTGGTAAATTTGTTCATAATATACTTAATTATTCGTTCATTCTATTTCCTGCTACATCATATGTTTGAAAATATTTAAGTTTTGCTCTTGCCATTTTCAAATTTGTCTGCTGTGGTTAAATGTAATTTAGTAAATTATTACATGTATTTTAACTATACATGTATGTATGTATTCTTTGCATACACTGCACATCTATCCATGTTCCATTGTCTTTACACCTATTTCCTTAGCATTCAGACCAGTACTCTATTCTCAATATGATTATGTTGGTCTGTCTAAGTTTTGGGCTAAAAAAAATAGATAAAAGTAGCACTTGACTGAATGAAGAGGCTGAAAGAGGGATCTTTAGTACCATACCTTGTAGATAATACTTACTGACCTATGCTAACTGTCATGAGGGATGTCTTGAACATAAAATGAACAATATGAACTAATACAACACTATGGTCATAAGGTGGATGATGTCATGCAGTCCTTAAGGCGAGCATTTAACAATGCATGGCAAGCTGCTGGTCCAACGTCAGTGTGTGACATGTGCCCTCTTCATCACCTGCATCAGCTGTGTGTCCAACTTGAGGGTATGTATGCAACTTGATATTTAGTTGGGATAACCCCTTAAAGAGAAGTTAAGCCTCTTAAGCCCAACTGGCTGGGCTCTCAGTGCTTAACTGTGGTTTCTGTAGTTTGGAGCAACTAAGAGTATGGTCACTCCCCCTGCATGGGATGTATGTCCATCTCCAGTATTCTGTTACGTTACCCCAACATTTCACTGGTATCCATGTATTCTTGGTGGAGGGAGGCACTTCTTGAGTTAAGTTTCTTGCCCAAGAACATAACATAATTACCCTGGCCAGGGCTCAAACGTGGTCCACTAACTTGATCCAGAGTCCAGCAAATTGACCATAAGGCCATCGTGCCTTCCACAATAGACCAATGCTTCTTTAGATTTAAATTAATGAAATCTCAGTTCATTTATTGGCTTCTTTGTTCATGTATGGGTATGTGCACTGTTTTCTTTGTTCATTCGTGCATTCACATATTTTATGACACAAAAACATCCACTGCCCATGAATCAGGACTGTAATTATATTACTTGTTGTCTTTTGTAGGTCGTACAGTTAGTAATCAATATGATATACTGCAAAAACACAGAATTAACCTTACTGATGAGGAGATGAGTGAGTTTACAGAACTTTTTAAGGTAATCAATTATTTATATTTATTTTTGCAAGGTATATAACTTGCTTAAGGCATAAAAAAGGCTTTTTAAAACTTCACTTGGGATTTATTTGTCCAAACTTTCTAACAGTTTTCTCAGCAGTCAACAACATCTGCTTATGAGTCAGGGAACCATCAACTCTCACCAAATTTGAGAATCTGGAGAGAAAGCTCTAGAGCAAGGACAAGAACCAGTAAACTCAGCACTGCTGGGTCTGGGTTTTTAACTTGGGCCACATTGAAGACAGTGAATTGAGAAGCAAGTGCTCTCACCACTGTGCAGGCCCTACAATGTACTCCCTCTAGGTTGCTGCTGTAAGCATTCCAGCCTGTGAATGTGTTACCAAGTTTCTGGGTTTTTTAAAGGCTGAAAGTCCATCAGGAATGAATGAAGAAAATGAAGTAATCATGGCTATACTGAGAGGAATATATGAAAGAAGACAACTACAGCATACACACATTGGTCAGGTAACACACAATCCTCACTTTTTT